CCCCCCCCCCCCCCCCCCCCCCCCCCGTCGCATGCGTTCACGGTATTGACAACCGCACACGAATGATGGCATCGGATCGGCGAAATATATAACTCGGCGACGGGACTGTTGGAACAGTTCCTGCCCTTGGTGATGGATTCGTTCGAGTCCGGGCCGGAGCTCTACCTCGCCGTGCTGAGGAAGACGCCGCACAGGGCGTCGGGGACGGTGCGGTACCTGAGAGGGAAGGTAAGATCCCCCGGGACGCTCACCACAAGTTCCTTAATAGCCAGCCGCCACGGCGACGGCTAGGTTGTTGCTGTTCTTGGTGATAGGTAGAGCCAGTGTTAGTTCTGTTCTTGTAACAGGTGGTAGTAAAGTCAGTGTTGCTGTTCCTGGTGGTGTCACTTGGTAAAAGAGGCACTACTGTTGTTGGCTCGCGACGTTGCGCGTCGGGCTTGCTGTGCTTCTCTTCCCTTCCTGCCACAATTTGGTCGTTGTCAGGCGGCTTGCGAGTCCGTCCATCTCTCACAAGTGTATCGAGGCCTGGCGTCCCGTCGTTCTCTCCTACTTTTTTTTTCGGAACTCCCCGTTGTCGAATGGCATAGCTCGGGGGCGTTGGCGCCCGAGCTTGGTCTTGTGCCCACTACTTTTTTCCAGAGACAGCGAGCGGGTTGGGGAAGAGAAGGAACATGGCAAGCACACCAGTTAAAGAGTTAATCGTGCTGCATAGGTAGGTCTCGATGAAACCTCCCCTCGTTTCCGTACTGCTGTACGCAAGTGTTGGGTGTGGATTGTGTTGGGTATTATTTCGGTTGTGGTTTTGGGGACGCGGTTTTGGGGACGCAATTATGAAGCACTACGGTTTGAAAAACTTATTAATTTTGTCCCTCCGAAACGAAATGGCGCTGGGTCTCACCCTTTGGTGGCATTCGTCTGTGTCGGGGACCAGCCGCGCACACGCTTGTGTGTCTCCCTCCCTCCCTGCGCCCGAAGTTTTCTTCTTTTGTTTTGCATTTGCGTCCTGTTCCTTTTTTTGGGGGGGGGCGTCGACCCCCTGACGACCACAATGACGGCAGGTATCCACGGGGTACGGGCGTGGCAGCAAGAAGCTAGGAGTGCCGACGGCGAACCTACCCGAGTCCCAATTCGCGGAGAACCTCCGGACTCTGCCCACTGGTGGGTGATGATGCCGAGAAGACCGACCGGTGTGGGGTTGCAAGGGAGGCCGGCCGGCCGCGCTATTTATTCTTGGTTAGTAACGGATGTGCTGATTTTTGTTGCGGCACCCGTGCGAGCGAAGTTTTGTGTTTTAGCAGTTGGGAGGCAAGTGATGGTGTTGAGATGGGTGCGCCGGGTTTCATCTTGAGGACACGTCCCCTTTCTTTCGTGCAATGTCCCCTGGTGAATTATGCGGGCCGTCCGGCGATGGACTATCGACAACGGCAGTTGTTGATGGCGGAGACACCAAGCCAACAGCATCGTGTTTCACGAACGCTTCGATCAGCAATAAAGTAGAGGCTTCTGTGTCCCTTTATAGATGAAGTTCATGCGGGCTGCCAAGCGATGGGTCCGTATTTTTTGTAGCACGCTGGAGTATCTGGATCTTGACCGTGTTGTTCACTCCGGTCCTCACAGCATCGTCGTGAGGGCCATGTTCTATTGCCGCTACCACTGTTCGCTCTACAACCAGTTGGGCACACCGACAAATATTTCTGGCTCGGTTTTCAAAAGGTGTGTACTTCGGCTGGGCCGCTCTCGAGGGTGCCGCGACCAAAGAGGGAGAAGGAGATGAGGGCGATGCGAGCGGCGGCGGTCGCGACGGCGGGGAGGGTCCTTGGAAGTGCGTGGCCAATGTCGGGTACTCGCCGACCTTCGCCGGCCAGGAGAACGCAGAGAAGATTGTGGAGGGCCACCTCATCGGATACGAAGGTGCGTGTGTTGTAACCTCGTTGTTGTCTGTAATCTTGCCTTTGTTCTATTTCCGACGCCAAGGTGCTGCGTTCGTTGTCTGGTTCTTGCCGATACGTGGCCAATTCAGAGGCGCCTTGGACTGGTGTTCTCAGAGTCTCTTGTTGGCGTTTTTTTCTGCAGGCGAGGATTTCTACGGCAGGACTATACGGATGTTGCTGGCGGGCTTCCAGCGGAGAGAAAAGAAGTTCGCGTCGTTCCCGGAACTGGTCGCCACCATCAACAAGGTGGGAGCACGCAGGCATCATGTGGAGAAAAAATCACCAATGACCAACGCATCGTGTGTCGGGGAGGGGAAGGGGACACCCACAGAAAGAAAACTGAGGGAAAGAACAGGGTACAGGACGGAGGTATGGATCTGCAAAACCGCTGAGGTTTCCTGCCTCTTTGCTATATAGGTGCCTCTCGCTCAGTTGCACCGTTTTTTTTTTCCTTGCAAACCTTCGCGTTTCTGCGCTTGGGGGGATCTACCGCTCTTTACAACATTGTCCTCGGTGTTTTTTCAGGGATTGGTTTTCCTGCCTCCATGTTCCCCCCAACACGTGTATCCGCTAGCCGTGGCCGGCGATGCTATGAGCAGCAGTGGCCATAATTATCGCTACGTTTCTGCGCTGCCTCTATTGGATGGCGTCCGCGTAGATGATTGCGCAGTGTGCGCTTCGGGACGCACGTGCCCGCTCCATGTTTCCTCACCGACAGTCATGGTGGTAAGACACCTACGCAGAAAGGACGCGATGCTGCACTGCAAGAACGCCGGTTGCTGCTGTTCTTGCGTTTCCTTGCCCGAGCTCAGGATGTCAGGGACGCAGCGGCGGCCCTGAATGAACCTCGGTTCTCCGCGTTTAAGGCGGATGCGTTCTTCTCTGGAAGGCCGGCGGCGACCGGGGAGCGGAGTACGACCGCGGAGGCGTGGTCCACGCGAGACTTTGAGGCCGCAATGGAGGAAGCCGCTCGAGGGGCGGACAAGTGAAGGGGAGTGCTGCTGTCGGTGGGCAAGCTGCCGTGTCACTCCTCGCGCCCCGCTCGCTTCCAGCACGCGCAACGCTCACCCTCACATAGCGTACTTGTTGTTGGCAACAGCAAGCAGCAACACTGTAGCAGTAGCGTTTGTAGATCTTTGGTTGTGACGCTATCGTCCTTCTGTGACGTCGTGTGTGTTTTTCCTATGTTTTGTTTTACTCGAATATACGTCTTGGTTGCTGCAATGGCAATGCTTTATGGAGTCCATTTTTGGTTGAAAACTGAAACTTTGGATAAAGACGGGAATGTGCTTCACAATTCACAATCTCTCTGGTAAAAGCAAGCATCTTTCGATGAAACCTGACGTTTGGCGAAGAATTCGGCTGGGAAACGAACATGTGCCTCGGAGGCCGTGCTTGTTGGTGTTGGTAGTTTGACCACAAGCCTCCCTCACTGCTTGGGGAGTACCCGACTCCAAAATACAAGTGAAATGGCCATGTTGTCGAGAGTTTACTATCCACACGGTTGACAGCACTCTGCCGTCGGGTGCAGCAAACTCCGGCGAAGAGTTTTGGCCCAATGATTCATGCTCCAGGAATGTACCGGCCGACCCAACAATTGGAGATACTCTGCAGACACCTCTTCGACTAAGGCTGCATACCGACGCCGGACGATATGCGCCGCACGACAGCAGCCCATATCAACCCCGTCTCTGATCGACAGAAACGCAACAACCTTTACGCTGTTTCAACGAGGCAAGCACATACCGCCGGCGATGGGCTTTTGGGGGCAAACCCCGAGCGAGTTTTGTGTGCTCCAGGGGGGGGGTGACGAACGAGACCCTGATGAGTTGGTCATCAGTCACCGGGGAGGTAACAGCAATCTCCTCAACGATCACAAATCGAGTATTGTCCAACAAGCCCATAATCGCTGGAAGCGTGCGGCCGGCCTCCACACAACAGCTGTCGTTCGGACAAAAATTTCAATCATGTCGGCGACTTCTCGAGAACACAGTAGGTGACAATCTGCGCGCCTTACTTGAAAGCTTTAATGTTGCCTCTAATGGGAAACCTTCCACATGGCCGCTTGTGAGGAATCCAAAATCTCTTTGGGTGACTGCAAGGTGCGCAATTGGGCGATGCTGATGTGTCGGAACCGCGTGCAACTTTCATTGGCCGGGTTCTACCCCAGCTTACGTCACCGACCGGCGTTTTCACGTCCCCTCCTCCCTCGCGTTCAAGATCTCGGCCCGCCTTGAAAGACGGTTGGCATGAGCACACATCACCGAGCTTGAACACAGGATGGCTGAAAAAGGGTGGTTATGCGTGGGAACGAGAACTGGTGGTACAGACTACGTAGTCTGGGTTGGAAGCAAGGGGACATGGCGAGGAGCAAATCCGACCCTTTTCAAAAGGCATGTGCGGCGGATGATTTACATGAGAACGTTCGTTTTTTCTTCGACATGGTCATCATTCGCGGGAAGACGTGGCAGAACCTCCGGTGCCTGAACAATGATGGCGACCTACAACCCTGAGACATGAAGGATTAACAAAAATCGAGCCCTCATGTACAACGTCCGTCGGTCTGTGTGAAATGTGAGGAGTCCGCGTCAGTTTGAGCAGTAACGTAATCGACGGTCCTGAGGTGAGATCAAACGGGCCTTTTGTCTTTGTGAAATATGTTTCTGGCAGGAAGGACATGGTACAAAATTGTGCTTAGCATCAAAGGGGATCCTGAAATAGCATCAATGGGGATCCTGTTTGCGCTCCAAGTATATTCGAAAATCCTGCTGGACAAAGGGATGGGTGGAACCGACTGAGCAGCACACAGTGCCGGGCGCCACCCATTTGATTGTCGGTGAAAAAGGCTGGCAAAGGCTTATCCTAGTTGTGCCGGAGCCGGTTCCACTGGAACGTTTCCAGTGGTACTTGGTGGCTTCCGCACTTCGGGTCCGATTCAGGCCAAATTAGTACCATCCATCCGTACCCGCGCACAGCAGCAGGCGTAGACGATCTTCAACTTCTGATTCGCCTGATCCTTCCGGATCCTGGGCTACGTAAGCGTGTACGCGTGGATACGAGCAGAGGTGAGCTAGCAGATGCACGCATACAACAACGCGAAAATGTCACCATATAGTACACATTGCCAGAGACGCCAATGGACGCTGATGGATACTTGCCGGCGATCGAGGCACCAAATTCATTTGTTTCTTCGTGTATCATGACGATACTTACGCGGCACTCACCTTGTGTGGTTGCATCGCAACCTGTAGTTGGCCGTGGTCGATTACGTTCTGTATGGGGTTTTATGTGTCCCTTTGTTGTGCAGACTACAGCAGACGGCAGTTATTGTGTTGTGTTGGGTGTTGGTCGGGTTGTAGGTAGGGCTGTGAGATGTGAAACGTGTGTGCGTGTGTGTTTTCGTCCAAATAATTATGGCGACAGTCCCCCATTTTCGTGGTGAGACGTGTCCAGTGCCGGCCCGCACTTAAGAACCTCCTACGTTGGGCGAGGCTCAGTTCGTATTAGCTGCCCCAACCCGAGCACCAGTTCTTATTTGCCAAGTTCTTATTTCGTCGTTCATTCTTCTCCAGAAAGGGGTGTTCTAGTTCTTACAGTATTTTAAGATCATTTGCTATATTATCGGCTGTCAACCATGAGCAACAATAGTCCTGCTGTCGATACAAGAAAATACCAAGGCATGGAGCAGCAACTGTCCACCTTCTTGGTCCACAAGGGTGACGTTAGTCCTGCGTACCCTTCCTGATCTACTAATGCTCTCACGCAAAACCCAGGAGCCTACAGCCGCATCCAAATCTCCGCTGCACTTGTCTAAGGGCAACTTCATCTTGCGCGTACTCTGGTCTAGCTCCAGCTGCACACAGTAGTCGTACAGGTGGCGAGTGTCCTTCTGAGATTGTTGAGTGATCAGCCCTCCAAACCAACCCATGCCCAGCCTAACGAGCACTCCACGCCGCAAAAGCAATCTGCCAAGAGCAACGGGTTTAGCTTCTTGGATACGAAAGCCTGCCGGGATCTCCATTCCCTGTATCTCATCCTCCGGGTCTTGTGGGTCCATGCTGTCGTCGTCGTCCAGAAGAGCTAGCTCGTCGGTCTGGGGTTGAGAGATGTCTGCGAACGAGGCAACGGGAAACACAAGAAGTTAGGGTGTCACGTCGCCAAACTCAACCTGAATTACCATAATTTGAGTGTAGCCGTGCGCGGAAACAAGCTAACGTCAACATGAAGGACATCGTCATAAAAAAAGGAGAAAAAATCCAAAAACCGAAAAACCAAAACGCCAAAATACAGCCACCACGGGGGGGTGGTCATTTTTGAATGCTCCTTTCGCGCCCCGGGTGTGCGGGGCGCACTCCACNAAAAGGAGAAAAAATCCAAAAACCGAAAAACCAAAACGCCAAAATACAGCCACCACGGGGGGGTGGTCATTTTTGAATGCTCCTTTCGCGCCCCGGGTGTGCGGGGCGCACTCCACTCTGAGCATCATGGCACCCACAACAAGAGGAGCGCATAAAGCAGGGGGGGAGACCGCGGCACCCTCAGGCCGTTCAGGTCGCCCTGTGGTCGGCACCAGGGCTACCCGCAGCAGCGGCCGCGGTCCGCAACAAGCAGCGAAACAAAATTCAAAAACAGC